CTACCCCTTAGGGCATACCTCGAGGCATCGGGCTAAGACCCGCCTCGACCAACCACTGCTCGGACATACTCCGGATGGCTCTTGAGGCTGGAAGGATTTTCTTTAAGCCTCCGGAGCTCTTGGCGCTCCTCGTCGTCCAAACCCGGGGCGGTGTTGTCTATCACGCGTGCCGCCCATCGAAGTCCGAACCCCTAGTCCTCCGAGCGGTTGACGAAAAAGAAGCGCCCCTTCCATTCCTTATTACTGGAAGGAGCCCCGCTCACTCGGAAGCCCGCTCAGGCGGATAGATAGTAGCCCCCCGACCCCTTGGAAAGTTGAAAGCAAGAAAGGAAGAGGGATCGGGTCGGGGTGATGTTGGCATAGTGGCACTCCCCCAGGAACGCCACCAGATAGCGCCAAGAGTTGGGCGCTATCTGAGATGGGGAGATACACCACCATGAGATGCTTGAAGTTATGATGGGGTGCAAGGGGAGGCGTAGCCCGGCCTCAAAAGCATCAAGGGTGAGGGCAAAACCCTTAGGAATCAGATCATACGCCCGTTGGCTGGGCTCGGGAGCAAGAAGGACAAATTCCTCCAGGATGCCGTAGAGGTCCCGGAGGCGACTGAGCGACGACTCACTCACGGTGGAGTCGAGGTCGTGTGGCCACATCAGGGCTCGTGCCGCCTTTTCGTCGGACGACGAGTTAGGATTCGAAGCAACTGCCGTTTGCTCGACTTTAGCCAAAGAAGAGGATGAAGAGGAAGAGGAAGAAGACACCATCCTTACTGACCTTTAGTAAGAGAAGAAGAACGATTGACGCAAATGAAACGATGGAGTCCGAAGCGGCAGAATAGAAACGAGTGAGGAGACCTTCGAGGGGCTAGCCGCACAATACTTATACACAAAATCTCGCCAAAAAAAGCGACCCTTCCTCTACTCAAGCATGTCGCATCGGGATGACACAACGTCATTCCGCCATAAATGTAGCTTGGCAGGGTAACCAACAGGCGCGCTACGCGTGGCAAACAATGAGCTTGAGGCGTCGGTCTTCTCGAAAACTAGCGATTCACGAAAAGGTTCGTCCCCTGAACTTCTGAACAGATCAAAGGCTACCTGGCCACCCGCACATCCCATAGCACAGCGTAACAGATCCAATCGAAGTAGCTCATCGGCCGCACCCGCCTGTGCCGTGATCCTCGGCCTCATGTCGCTCGAGACCACGCCTGCGCGGCCTGCTCGCCCGAGTCCAGCTCCTCGGCCGCAATCGCCTGCGTCGTGCTCCTCGGCCTCATGTCGCCCGAGACCACGCCTGCGCGGCCTGCTCGCCCGAGTCCAACTCCTCGGCCGCAGCCGCCTGCGTCATGCTCCTCGGCCTCATGTCGCCCGAGACCACGCCTGCGCGGCCTGCTCGCCCGAGTCCAGCACCTCGGCCGCAGCCGCTTGCGTCGTGCTCCTCGGCCTCATGTCGCTCGAGACCACACCTGCGCGGCCTGCTCGCCCGAGTCCAACTCCTCGGCTGCTGCCGCTTGCGTCGTGCTCCTCGGCCTCATGTCGCCCGAGACCACGCCTGCGCGGCCTGCCCGCCCGAGGGGGCTACCACCCCTACGGCCGAGCCCAATTTGACCTATGAGTCATTCTTCGAGGTTCCTCGGCCACTCACTACCCAGCGCCGCTACGGCACATCCGACCTTCCTCAATTGCCAAGCCCCACGATTCCCATGCCCTGAGCGGCAAACCGGCCTTCGCCCGACGGAGATAGTTCTTTAAAACCGAAGCCATGCCTCAGACCCCCCCCTCCTCGGTAGCTGACGCATAGCTTCCTTTGGGGGGGGAGTATGATGAGGGTGATAATTATGATAAGACTTGCATGACATCAGCTGACGCCCCACGTCTCTGTCGGGCTGACAGCGCTTGGCCGACACGGGCCGAAACGCCAACCGAGGCCCATTAACGACCACTCAGCTTCGATTCCTCACGCCACGCCAACAGCGATATCAGACGTCATCAGAAGGTACGATCCTGCCCCCTGCGAGCAGGCACGTCAGGTGACACTAAACTCCCCTATAAATACCATTGCGTTCTGAGCGCCAGGGTAGAGGGAACGAGAGGAAACACGGGAAAAACTCCTGCGACCACTGATTAACTTAATCATCGGAGGGGTCGGGTCGAGCATCCCGACTCAACCTGTGTGCAGGGACGAAGACGAGGCGCCTCTCTCCGGACGCATTGGCGAGGAGCCCCTTCCCGAAGGAAACGACGACCCACCTCTATGACCGAACCAACCAGAGCCGACAACCTCTACAGTCTGGAGGAACTTCCCCCCCTGAGAGATCCCCCGTCATCCGGACCCGAACCGAGCCGCGTCGGCCCCGAGGCCACGGCTTAAAGTTGTTTACACCAACAAAACTCTAAATTATATAATTATAATAAAAAAACACATTGAGATTATGACAATAATGAAGAAGACATATATATATATATATATATATATATATATATATATATATATATATATATATATATATATATATATATATATATATATATATATATA